AATGCTTCTCTATAAATATCAAAAACTTCTTTAGTAATTTTTCTTTAGTTTATTGTGATTAAATGAACTAAATAAAAAAGATAATAAGAGAAACAGTTCAGCCGCAGTAGAGAAGCATTTTTTCTCAGATTCCTGTTGGCTGAAGACCCATTAAATTTACTGCTGTCTGATTTCATTTATTGCCTTTACGACTCCCTGGAGGGTAAAAATTCTGAAGTGCTCGACTTAATTAAATCTTGATTTAAGTCATACTTAAATGTATAAAATTACACATACGTGTACAAAACGAAGACTTAAGTCGAGCACTTAAGAATTTTTATGAAACACCCTTCTGACTTTTGACGGGGATTGATCAAATTTTGGATAGCAGGAAGACATTTTGGGCAGTTTTTGAAATAAATGAGCTGCGACTTTTCAATTTTTTTCGCTCAATTGATCGCTGTTCAGAACCTCGATAGTTATCGGTCTAATTCTTTCGCCATTTTACTCATCTTTCTTACCGCTTCATTTTTATCAAGGGTTCTATTTCCTTTTGACCGAAAAACCATATAGGTACCTACGGTATACATTTTCGTCTTATGGAAAACCATGTTTCACATGTTTTTTGAAAAACAAGCCTAATATTCTATAGTTAGCTTTTTATGCTCTACACGATGCATATATTGGAATCTTTGTGGCTTTTATGTTGTCTAATACTGGGCGGAGATGTGTGGAAGCAGCCCGTAATTGCGATGTGACTTTCACTTACATCATATTGCGTCGCAACTATTGAACAATCGACGACAACATGGGAAGTTCAGTTAGTATATTTAAACAAATAAAAATATTGAAAATTATTTAAGACAGCAAATCATACAAATAATCGGGTTAAAGTAGCGACATCTAATCTCAGATAAGTTATTAATAGTTTCATGCTATACAATTTTCAGGTTTAAGTACATAATACGTTATATTATTGCAGTAGGAGTGAAGGATGTTTTTTTCGGCGTTCATCCATCAACACTTTAATCGCTGTTCGTTTCAAAATTCAATCAATCAACGTCAAGATTATAATCTAGTATCACAACTGCGCATGAAAAAAAATCGTTGTTTTCTTTTATTAGCTCGAAATATAGTAGCTACAAAAAGAGACTATCTACGTCAATTCGCATTGATCCTGGCTCCTTGGCATGGAGCTAAAAGGAAACAAAGAAGAAAAATGTAGGATTTCTTCACTAACCAAAGATTTTTATAAAACCTTGCCAGTATTTAAATGTACTTCAGTGAAAAATGACCCTAACTTTTCAGTAATAACTAGTTTTTCCTTTTTGAGATATAAGATAAGTAGATTCGAACAAAAAGTTTTATTTCTACTTTGTTTTATTTTTGTGCATATGTCTCACTACACTACACATTTTGTCTAATACCGGCTTTCGATGATCACATTCTATATAAGATGCTCGCTGTTAGAGTTTGATAACAGATGAAGGGTATTATAATATTGATAGATGTTTTTTCACTCTTTTAGCCCTTTTATCTCAAAGAGTACTTTTCAGAAAACGGCAGAGGCACAAAATATGTTTCAATGACGATTTTTTAGATAACATAACAGCAAAGTGCTGTTAGCTTTTCTTAACGACTATTTAACTATTCCTTTATTTATACTGGTAGTTGATTGTTTTTCACAAAAGACTGTTTATAATATAAACAGTCTTTATACGCTTGTTCGATATAAAGTTTATATCGAACAAGCATATGTTTGAAGTATTAACTATACAATATTCGACACAAATAAACATGTGAACAATGAAAAAATTTCGATTTACTTTTTAGATAGGAGATAATGAATTTGGCTCGCAATGTTCTACGTAATATTGCTTATTTACCACAGCATATTCGACCAGTGACATCAGCAGCTATTGCATTAAAAGTAAAAGATGAAGTGAAACGCAAACGTGAACTTGCTCTATTAGGTGGAGGTGTTAAGCGTATTGAGAAACAACATCAGAAAGGTAAGCTTGATTGAACTGTACAATTGAAAGAAACGTTAATCATTATAATAGTAGGAACTTTTTGGTTTTCGTTACTCAGACGTACGTGTGATGCTTTGGTTCACTGAAACAATCAACGGAATACATTCTAGGAAAATCTATCTTAACTCTTTTTGCTTTTGTCTTTGTAGGAAAACTGACGGCTCGTGAACGTCTTGAAGTGCTACTTGATCCAAGATCATTTTCAGAATATGATATGTTTATTGAACATCGTTGCAATGATTTTGGTATGGATAAGGAAAAATATTATGGCGATTCTGTTATAACTGGCTCTGGACTTATTAATGGTCGTCCTGTTTATGTATTTAGTCAAGATTTTACCGTATTCGGTGGGAGTCTATCAAGTGTTCACGCACAAAAGATATGTAAAATAATGGATCAAGCGATGTTAGTAGGGGCACCTGTCATTGGACTGAATGACAGTGGTGGCGCACGAATTCAAGAAGGTGTTGACTCATTGGCGGGTTATGCTGATATATTTCAAAGAAATGTACTGGCCAGTGGAGTTATACCTCAATTATCACTAATTATGGTCTGACAGCGTCTATCTTCGTGTCCGTCAGTGGGTATTATTTATAGGTATGTGTTTAGGGACCTTGTGCAGGTGGAGCCGTTTATTCGCCAGCATTGACTGATTTTATTTTTATGGTACGCCAATCAAGTTATTTATTTATTACTGGACCGGATGTTGTTCAGTCTGTCACAAACGAAAGTGTCACACAAGAAGAGTTGGGTGGAGCTAATTCACATATGACAAAATCAGGTGTTGCTCATTTTGCTTACGATAATGATATTGACACGTTATTAAGAACAAGAGAATTATTTAATTTTTTACCATTGTCAAATAAAGATCCAACACCAATTCGAGAATGTGACGATAGCCCAAATCGATTAGTGCATGCTCTCGATACCGTTATACCATTAGAGACAACAACTGCCTACGATATGAAAGAAGTTGTAAGTAAAGATATGATGGAATATATTTGATATTAGTTATATGACTTGTATTCTAGGTTCATGCAATCGTTGATGAACACGATTTTTTTGAAGTAATGCCAGATTGGGCGAAAAATATAATTGTTGGTAAGAATATTTTTTCTCCCGAATATGACAAACATTTTAATTTAAATTTTTGATCATTTTTATTGGTTTTGCACGTATGAATGGTCGAACAGTAGGTATTGTTGCAAATCAACCTAAATCAATGGCTGGATGTTTGGATATAAATGCATCAGTGAAAGCAGCGCGTTTTGTTCGATTCTGTGATGCCTTTAATATTCCATTATTAACGTTTGTTGATGTACCCGGTTTTCTACCGGGCACTTCTCAAGAACATAATGGTATCATAAGACATGGTGAGTTAAAAGCCCATATAAATAGTCAAGCATTGATGAATGTGTTTTTAATTTTTTTAGGAGCAAAACTATTGTATGCCTTTGCCGAAGCCACTGTACCAAAGATAACCATAATAACACGAAAAGCCTATGGTGGAGCATATGATGTGATGAGTTCTAAACATTTACGAGGAGATATGAATTACGCGTGGCCAACAGCTGAAGTACACCATTTTATTTGTATTTTGACGTGGCTAGAATGATAAATTTGTTTATATTTTAGGTTGCAGTCATGGGTGCTCAGGGTGCTGTGAAGATTATATTTCGTGAGGGAAAAAATGTAAAAGATAAAGAACTTGAATATATTGATAAATTTGCAAATCCATTTCCAGCTGCTGTTCGTGGTTTTGTTGACGATATTATCGAACCAAATCAGACACGTAAAAGAATCTGTCGTGATTTGAATTTATTAGCCGGTAAACATTTGGTTAATCCACGAAAGAAACATGCGAATATGCCGTTATAGAAAGAAAAATATCCAATCATTCCATTTTGTCTCATTTGCTAGGATAATACCAGCCCTGTTTGTAACTAAAAGAATGAGTAAAACATACCTAAATAGTAAATGTTATGTTGTAAAACGGATGTTTATCTGTTTATTTTTCATAATTAATTTGTTTTTCATTGTATTTATAGAGTTTTTTATTTGTTTTTCTAAGATGTGCAAAATCAGTTAAGTTTTGTCACACACTAAATAGTTTTAGATTGAAAGAAAAGAACAACGTTCAAAGATTGAACTAGAATAAAAATACTGAGTCAGTTTGAGATATCCTTGTAATATTATCATAACGATAAACTCGAGTAAAGAAAGAAAAATCAAGAAAAAAATGAGTTTACTTTTGATAAGTGTAAGGTTTTTATATTGAGTCTTGGAGATATTCTAGTTTAATTATAAACAAACGTTTTATCAATCAAGTACAACAAAAAGCAAATACGCATCTCAAAAACTGATGTAAAATTCAGTCAATGTGATGTATCATGTTCTAGTAGTTGATTTTTGCAATTCTGTTTGGGACATTTCATTTGAGGAAATAATAAAGTAAAAAAACTGGTTTAAACGGGGATATTTTCAATTATTCAGAAAATTCAATTAATATTTTTTACGTATATTTTTCAATTAGTGAAAGTATTGATAGAGAAACATGGAGTAGAGAAAGTCAGTATTGCTAAGATAGATGCAAATAACTTCTAGCAATCCATCGATGTAGAAAACTGTCGGAAAATGCGTTACTTTTAATTGAAGACATTCAGTTTTCAGTTCGTTACTATTAACTAACTATAAGTATTTTAGTCTGCTCTGCTACCTGAAACCAGATTATACATAGTGGACAATTCTGGCTAGGCATTTGGATATTTGTTTTAAACGCAGTGTGAAAGCCTATGAACACTCTTTTTATAGGTTTTCAGATGTGCTCTTTTCAATGGTGCGATTTAAAAAGTTCAAAAATACTTATATATAATTTTTATGCCATTAAATAGCTCGTATTTTGAAGTGTATTTAATATTCTTTGGATCTGAAAAGAGCTTACTTTCAATTTTCACCTAATGTCCACGTGGTTGCTCAATGTGCTATGGTGAAAAATCTAATTATTACACAAAATCATTAATATCCTCTTTTAAATCACACAATCCGTGATTAAACGCACTTATCAAACTATCAATTTTAAAAAATTGGATGAACGGTGTTAGACTGCTAGTGTTTTTGAACGCCGCGACTGTCAATAATAAACTTGCATTTTTTGTTGCTGATTGAAGTGTGTTAAAATCCCAGTCACTAAATGTTTTTATCAATTCTGGCAAAATTTTGTCAACAAATGACAAAGCAATTCTGCCTATGTCTTTGGCCACTGTTGACCAATCTTCTTTTACAGCATTTGCCATAATATCAACCGCAAACAAATTGAATAATGGGGTACCAAGCACAATTTGTAGCAAATTGAGAGAGGCACCAGCAACGGATTGTATCATATTTATAACAGCTGTTTTACAATCTTTTTCCGTCTTTGCACATCCTGCCAAACAGGCAAGTGGTTGAGTGTCTGGACAATATTGCCAGCACACTGGTCCGACACCGTTATAATCTT